TAGCTCCGAATAATAAGTCTCTCTGAAGACGAGGGTGATGTTAACGCGCTGACCGACTAAATTAGAGTGAGCTTTACAAAGCCAAAATCGAGGTGAAATACGGTTAGAAAGTGCCAAAAAAGGCGTCACGAAGAACGATTCTTGTACCTTTGACACATTCCTTTCCACTGACATTGTAGACAAACCCCTCAGCGCATTCACAGGTGTAATTACGGAATCCCAACATTTCACATTTGTACTGTCCCGTGGGACAGAACGATGGTTTTGGATCGAGGCAGAAATTGTGCAATTCATCACAAAGTGCACCCTCGAACTCATTCGTACATTCGCATCGAAATTTCGCTAATTGACTGCCATCCACTACACAAGTTCCGCCGTTTTGACATTGATTCCTATAGCATGGATCTGAAATTGTCTTTTGAATTGTTTGGTTATAGTTGTTTCAAAAAAACAGAAGACTTACTTCTACAAATGCCATTCTCGTCCACAACGTCGGTGTCATTCTCGCAGACGCAGTCGGGAACACATGCTCCTTGCCTTTTTACGCATTTCCTACCCGTAGGGCAAAGAACATTCTCGCAAACATCTGAAAACATGCGTTCGAGTGAAAAAGCGAATCAGTTAATGCCTTTATAATTGGTGAAACTGAAGTAAATGACTAGAGCGACTTCTTTGCCAAGCAAACATGGATACTGGTTTCCTCCCCTTTTTTCGTGTTTTTCTTGTTTTTTATTTATTTCAACTAATAAAATCATTGTAAAGTTGCTAAAGTCCGGAAGAGGGGATGTGAGGAAAAAGAAGCAAAGAAATGAAAAAGTGCTGCTGAAATTCATTGTTGTTCGTTGTGAAAAAGTCTCCCAAATTTCAAAAAAAATTTTAATTGTTCCAGTACACAGTAAAATCGTTAAGTTACTGTTTTTAGACGAAAAGACGAAATAACTTAGAAGGATCGAGGCATACCACATTGTATCCTGCTGTTCTCAAAGTAACAAATATCCGTGTCCTCGGGATTTCCACATTTGGGAGGCCTGGTTGTGGTAGGGTATGTGACTGAAATCGAGATTCATAAAGTGAAATTAACATTAACTCACGACAATTTTATTTCTTTTTGATGCTAGCTCAAAGAAGAACTAGGCATATCTCACTACATAGCTTGATAACAATGCGAGCAAGTGATTTGGCTCTAA